TTTATAGTTTTCAAAAGAACTTTCCAAATGTTATTATAATTTATAAATTAATTTAGCGGAAGAGACGTGTGACCAGACGTGCGGCACAAACGCTCAATGCGTTCATTTGGAGCAAAGAAGGCCTGAATGCAAATGCAAACGTATAGCCATTTGTTTCATTAATTTCTAAAAAGTCTTAATAAATGGTCGTCTCTTTAGCGGGATTTATAGGCGACGGACAGGTGTGTAGAAGAGCAGAATCGGAGACAGAGGACTGTCGGACATATAATTTATGTGATATAAACGCTGAGTGTTTGGCCAACCCGTCCACACAACGCCACCAGTGTTTCTGTAGAGCCGGATATAAAGGGAACGGCATCTTATGTATAGAGGAGTCAGAATCGTGTGAATTGTTAAACAATTGTGGAGCGAATGCCGAATGTATTTCAGATGAGGGCAGTAATAATGCTTATTATTGTTCCTGTAATCCAGGGTCAGTCTAATCTTGTGTATCACTTGAGTTTTTAGTCTTATGTTAAATCAATAGGTTTGTCGGCGACGGATATACCTGTTATGCAGAACTTAATCCCAATCAGGGTTGTCATCAAATCAATAACTGCCACTCAAACGCCAAATGCATGTATGAGCCCCGGAATGGTCTGTATTCCTGCAGATGTAATGAAGGTCTCATTGGAGATGGTTATCAATGCACCAGATCTTCAGGTTTGTATCACTATCTTATTATATGTTTTATGAGTTTATTTGAATATTAAACGGTTTTAAAGGTGAAGTGAGTTGTACTCTACAATCAAATGTCTGTTCACCGAATGGCGAATGTGTTGTCGATTCTGTGTCTCAAAATGGTATCTGTAAGTGTAGGTCAGGATTCTTAGGGGACGGTGTTATTTGCTACCGAAACGGTACTATAATTGAAAAGTTTATATTACTGTATGATTATATATAACTTAATCCATATAATGGTCAGACGATTGTAATATACAACAAGACTCCTGTGACCGAAACGCTCGATGTCTTCACAGCAGTGCTTCCAACAGATATGAGTGTCGATGCAATGAAGGTCTCTATAAAATGGTTTAAATCGTGAATTTTGAGCTAAAAATGCATTTCATAGGCTATAACGGAGATGGAAAGCAATGTTTGGTGAATGCAGACGCGACCTGCGAAGTGTTGCATAACTGTCATCCCAATGCTACCTGTGCTTACGATCTTAATCTTCTCAAATACACGTGTCAATGCAATACAGGTGTCATATTAGTACAGAATATTCTTTTAATATATTCATTTCACAGCAAATTGATCATTGATTTCATATAGGCTTCAAAGGAGATGGAAAAAATTGCAAACAATTGATACTTTCGTGTAATTTAATAAACAATTGCGATGTGAAGGCTGAGTGCACGTACAACTTTGATGCTCAGGGCTATCGGTGTCAGTGTATTAATGGTATGATATCTGAAGTTGAGATTCTGAACTCGCCTTTCAATTTAAATAATCAAACAAATGTCAAAATATTAAAAGGTTTTATTGGCGATGGGTTTGCATGTCGTCCCTCCAGAACCTGTAGAGAAGACCAATCAATATGTGATCGAAATGCTGACTGTGTGTATGTGGATCAGATGTTGACTCATGTGTGTCATTGTCGGTATGGCTTTGTGGGCGATGGCTTCCAGTGCAGTCTCGCGCCCCGACATGACGGCGATTACTTAATCTTCACTCAAGGAATGTCTTTACTTCGGATGCCATTACAGCCAACCAAAGAAGATAAGGGGAAACTACTGCTTACAAAACCACACCAAATTCCCGCCGGTCTTGACGTCGATTGTTTGGACGGATTAGTCTACTGGAGTGATGTCGCACATGGAGTCATATATCGGGCTAATTATAACGGGTCTTCATCTCAAACAGTAATTGAAGGCATTCTTGGGTCACCCGAAGGCTTAGCCATTGATTGGGTTTCGAGAAATATTTATTGTAAAATAGTTTTATGAATATGTGTTCAGAATCTATACCTAACGCTTACCTTACTTTCAAAGGGACTGATTCTCTGAAAGATACCATTGAAGTGTCCAAACTTGACGGCAAAATGCATAAAACTATCATTAATGAGGGATTGAATGATCCCCGAGGCATAGTTGTCCACCCGGGAAGGTATGTTGCATTTGATAGCTTATTTATAATAAATTGGTTTATTGTATCTCTAACAAATTACTTAATTAGTGGCAAAATGTATTGGTCTGACTGGAGTAGAACGGCGCCTAAAATTGAAGTATCAAATCTTGACGGCACCGGTAGAACAGTTCTCGTCAACTCAGACTTAGGTCTTCCCAACAATCTGGCCATTGATTACGATCGCAATGACTTGTGTTGGACGGACGCTGGACTTCATAGGATTGAATGCATTGACTTGTATAGCAATAGTCGTCGTATTATCCATACTCCGACCGGTAAGTCAATGTTAATTATAGATTAATACAGTATTATACTTATACTATAAGTCCAATTAAATTATACCTCAAAAGCATATCCTTTTGATTTGACATTCGTTGGGAATAACATCTATTGGACTGATTGGGAGATGTGAGACAGACATTGATTCTTACAAATTAGGTGTTCATTTCAAATATAATCTTATTTTTCAGAAAATTTATCCAAAGAATGGACCGAAAGGGAGGAACTCCCGACCCATTAGAGTTGCCTTTGGGAGGGAACGGAAGGTTGTACTCTATAGTGACAATTCCCCGACACTGTCCTCGCATTAGTAACGCCTGTTCTGTAAACAACGGCGGCTGTAGACACCTGTGTCTACCCAACGGTCGAGGCCGCACCTGTATGTGTCCCGACAATGATGGAGATTCATGCAATGAATTGATCCCAAAATAATGAAATTCAAAAACTAATCATTTCATGAATTTTGTTTTTATATTAATTATAATATTCTTAAAAAATCACATCAAATATTAAATACAATGATATAAATAGTGTTATATTAAGTGTTTGTGTGTCGTGTCAGCCCTTATGAGCCAACTTTGCCTAAAGTGGTGTCAGTCTTGGGATTGGCTGTAATCGACTGAATCGATGCAATCATTTCATTGACAGTTGTCTGCAATTCTCTCAAATCATTGATATATAAGAGTCTAAGAATTTTGGCGCTATTTGTGAGAACCGAGTCATTGGATCCGGTCTTCAATTGCATCGACTTGTTGTCCAATAGTTTCCTATTATTAGTCTTGAGTTCCACTTTGTCTTCACTCTTGTCGTTAGACTCGATTGAAATGTGATTTTTGATGACAAGAGTGATAGCACTTAAAGTGCACAAATGATTGGTGGGATGTGCGGCCACTTTGAGAAGTGGTGCCAATTGTTTGACACCATCGCAGAACTCATCGCTGTCGAAGTCGAGGCCATCGATGGGATTGGTTGGCGTCACTGATCTGCTCTCATAATCATCGGCTGGTTTGCGGTACTTCTCCACTGAAATAATAAATCACTTAAATTGCTATCAATTGGTTCACACATACAAGACATACAATGGTCTCTGTATTCAAATCTTAAGGCAGTCGTCAGAATCCAATCCAACACGAGATCCGTTTTGTTGGAACCGATTGGACACGAAATGTCCGATAAGTACTGAAAAGCGTGATAAAGGGAACCAATGATGCAATCAAATGATGGTGTCATCGATGGATACCTTATGAAAGGCTGAGTCCCAGTCCTTGTGGTCGATGTCTCTGAGGATAAGCCGGTCTTCAATCCTATAGTGTCTGATCTTCTGGTCTTCAATCCATGCAATCAATTGTCGCAATTGTTTCACATCTTCAGGTCAATGGATGAAAGGGTTAGTCAAGTGGCTCATGCAGGTGTTCAGGCCTGACATACCGGTGCTGTCGAAGTGTTGGGCGCCGTAGAAGTCGAGTGATTGAAGTGTTTGTCGAAACATATTTGCCGTCAAATCACTGCCAAAACCATTCAATTCATTGTATTTATTGTACCATTAATTCGCTCATAAATAACGTGGCATTCATTCACCACTATATGACCCGTTCTCTAGGATTCCGTAAGAATGAATAATTTTTAGAATTTTGAGAATGTGCTTGGTCACTATTCATTTTCAAACATAAGCCCAAAGTTTATGGGAAACTTGTTCAGTATTATCAGGTTCATTTTATGATTAAACTCAATTGCATCTGGAAACCGCCCCAATTGACCTTTCACTGTCAAACATATTTAGTTGACTCTAATTCTCACAATTGTCAGGTTAATCACACACACAAAATATGCACCCAAAATAAATAGTAGACTTACAAGTTATATAAATATAAGACAATATTATTATAGAATATTTATTAATATTGTAATTTTTGTGATAAAATAAAATTCTCATAATCAGACATCCAAATGATTTTAATTGAAATTATTATTGTATTATACAGAATGTATTATCATATTGAGAACAAATTGATTTGTATATATATATGAGAATATTGACAATACAATGGTATGATTGCAATGGATTTGTGTGTTCACTCGTGCCCTGCATCTCATTATCTGATCCATCATTAGGCAAATACCGATCACTTAAATCCATAACAATAGCTTCAATTTCTTATGTCTTTCATTCTCTTTGCATCGTATATATGAGTAAAATTACTTTCAGTTTCATATATCTAAACAATAGTATACTTTCGTACATCAGTTTATGTTTGGCTTCAATTCATGCCAGACTTCATGTAACATATTGT